TCCCGAGCTACGAAGATTCTCAACCATTTCAAAACATCTTTACTGTGCATTTTAACGTCTAATGGCGTTGATCTGGCTAAGTACAGGAAACGGTAGTGCTCAAAGTCAGCATGAAGGAGGCAACCTTCTGTGATTATTGCCTTGAAAAACAGGCGTTTCAATTACCAGTATGTGGCAAGATTAGGATTTGCGAACTCCGTGAACAAAAGCTACCAATCGGTCGGATAAATGCTATATCGTTTTCCGTTTGGTTTGGGCAGCTGTGTTTAATCCTGGTAACGGTAATTCTGGGTATAGTCCTTAGCAGGATGAAACCCTTCCGTTCACATTGTACAAAGTCAACTCAAGGTGACAATAGAGGCGCTGGTGACGTGGAGACGCTGCACACAATGACGCGTTTTGATCTTACTAAATCTCATCAAGCGGAGGAAGCAGGCTTCAGATACCGTCTTAGTGATCAAACGACCAAGGTCTACTTAATTGGGAGTCGTAGTCTACATTGTACTTGCGCGTAGCAATCCATCCACACAACCATTACTTCAATATGACCCTATAAGCAGACAACGCAGGTACTATAACAAGTTCATTTTGAACCCTAATTTCAGTTACGCCTTCGTCAGTTCCTTCTCCTTTTGACGGCAGTCGATCCAACAACAGTCCTTTTACAGCCTATAGTTTGGAAGCGCTAAAATATAGGGAATCACATGCAGAAATATATGAAAATTATTGGCAGAGTGAGAAGTTAACGGTTTACTTAATCTAGATGCGAAAACTTTAGGCAGAAAACAAGACATTAGTAAATGATGGTGACTTGAACAGCAATGAAATAAGCTGACCGTAGAAAATGAACGTCCACAGTGTGAAAAAGCAGGTAGAAATTCGTCACATCTAGACCCACTCAGATAAACATCACAAGCTGGGAAAAGAAATGAACGCGCGTCTCATCCTTTCGGGAATCGTCAACAGAGCGCATTTATGTTGTCATGGTCTGCTTAGCACTTATGTGCGGCATAAATCAGTGAAAACGATCTGCGCCTCAAACAAGGTGCCGTTTTAACAAAACAGGAAACTGACACAATATGTTCAAGTCAAACAGAGTAGTGGGCAATAGAGAGTGAGTGGGCAATAGTTGCCCAACTTATTGATGTATCCAATCTACAAAGGTACTCGATCATTAGTCAAGTTGAGTGAGGAAGGAAGCAGAAGAAGCCGGGAATTGGAGACTCGGCGATGGAACTTATTTGTTTCATCCACCAATTCGCTCAGGTTGAAGTCGGCACGCCTAAACAAACCACAAATGTGCTTTTCTGGTTAGGCAGCATACTTCAGCGGGAGGTAGAAATAATTAAACTCTTTACAAAAGCCCTAAATTCTGCGCTATCCCACAGCGGTCGTTACCATACAAAGTAGATCAGTGGTCTCAAACACAGACTTGCATCAGTCGAGTTGAGGGTTCGAGCCCCACTGTTGACGGATCTCGAAAGTAGGAAACCGTTTTACTTTTCTTTTGCAGTCGTATGACGACTACCTGACTGAATCTTGACGTGCTGATTTTCTAGGTACACCATTCACATCTAAGTCGTCACCATCATCATCATTACACGTTAGCTGGAGGTGGAAAACACCTCAGCTATTGTGCCGCAATACAAAAGAAAAGAAAAGAAAAAACAAACAGTGGCACGCCCACTGAGTCCCCAGTAACAGATGGACATCGTTCCGGAGAGCTAACAGCTGGCTGCCGTAAAAGAGAGTCGTATTATGCCTAACAAGTAAGATCGTGATTGGAGGGGGATGCTAAACAGGAAGGGGATGGACAAAGGAACTCACAACACAAACGCCATTGGGGCCTGCTCTTCACCATGTCAGCAAGAGTGTCCAACCAAACGTGTTCACCGTCCTTAGGGCCCCAGCCAGGCAGTCGGGATGCATCAACCGACTCCAACTTCGAAGTGAGGATTTTCATTTCTCTCTCGTCTAAGTCATCATTTGGCCTCCCTTCCTCCTCTTTCAACCGCACCCACAATGCGCAAACAATGCACGTCGCGGGAGTCGGTGTGTTGGTATGCGCAACACGTGGCCCAGCCATCGGAGCCTGGTGCGTGATATAATGGTGCTGAGCGGTTCACTCGCTCTTCCTTCATCAAATACGCGACGTCGAACACGCTTAATGCTTACGCGGTGTTCCCACCAGATATGAGCTAAGCTGCGAAGGCAGCGATGATCGAATGTGACGAGCCTCTTCATGTCTGTCGACCTGATGGGCCAGGTTTCACAGCCATATAGGAGAGTTGAACGGACGGCTGCGTTGTAAACTCTGCCATTCAGGGTGAGAGTAATGTCGCGTCTGCGCCACAGGTGGCGGAGATTGGCAAAAGCACCTCGAGCTTTTGCTATACGGTTCGTTATCTCATCTTCACTCCCACGGGTGCTAATATAGCTGCCCAGGTACTTGAATCCCTAAACGACTTCTAGAAGATCACCACCAAGCGTTAGCGCAGGGTTAGGTCCCTGCCAATCTTGGAGAAGTACTTTGCATTTCGATGGGGCAAAACATAGCCCAAAACGATTGACAGCCAGTGCTAATCGGTCCAGTGCTGTTTGGCATGTTTGGGAGCTGTCACAGATTAGGGCAATATCGTCCGCATACTCCAATTCAAGAAGTCGGTCACCAGGAAGTAGCTCCACACCTTCTAGGTCGTGCCCAGCGAACGCTGTTTCTATGAATTTATCAATAGCGAAGTTAAAGAGGAAAGGTGACAGCGGGCATCCTTGTCTCACACCGCTGGTGATACTGAAGGGTGGCGAGAGTTTGCCATAAACCCTCACCCTGCCCGAACTGTGCGCGTACAGCGCTTTGATAATGTTTACATATTTATCAGGCACACCTTTCCTCAGCAGACAGTCCCAAAGGGCACATCGATCGACTGAGTCGAAGGCACCTTTTATGTCAAGAAACACGACAACGGTGGGTGGCCAATAAACATGGCGGTGCTCCAACACTTGACGCAATGTGCAGATGTGGTCGATGCCGCCCCGACCTCGACGAAATCCGGCTTGCTCTTCACGAATCTGGCTTTCACGAGTGCCAGTCAAACTGTGGAGAATGACAGAGGCATGCAATTTAGAGGCAATCGAAATCAGACTGATCCCTCTATGATGGCCGCATTCCAAACGGGAGTTTCTCTTGAAAATTGGGACAATGACGGAGCGGTTCCAGTCTGTCGGGACTGTGTCCTGCGCCCAAAGTTTTACTAACAACTCGTGTAAGTCATGTACTAGAGCAGGTCCCCCGAATTTGAAGACGGCTGGGGATTTCTATCTGCCCATGTGGCTTTATGCAATTTCAACAGCCTGATCTCACGTTCGACTTCTGCGCGTGAGGGCGCGTCCAAGGAGACGGCCCAAGGAGAAGGGCGCTCAATGACCGAAGAAGAAAGCGATAACTCAGGTTGGTTAAATTGCCTTGTAAAGTGTTCAGCCCAACGCTCCAAGAGTTTTGACAAGCTGTGGATCGGCTGCCCACTCTGGTCGCGTATGGTCTCGCTAACACCAGGTCTCCTGCTGCCTGTTTCCCGTATCAGACGGAATAACTTACGGTGCTTACCAACGGCAGCGGCTGTTTCCATCTCAGAGGCACGATGAGACCACCAGGTTTCGCGGTCCTTCTTTAGGCTAGCACGTAGTTTTGCCCTCAGATTTTTGCGAGCCTCATTGTATTCGCTTCCAGCTGGAATACGTCGGCGAGCATCCATAAGTTCCAGAGACTGTGTAGAGACCCAATGTCCGGTTTGGCAATTTGCTTTGCCACATGAAGACATGCCTGCTAACTGCAACGCTTGACGAATATGCGACCAGTGATCTTCAACGGTGTTTAGTGGGCACTTACTCAGCCCAGATGTCAACGCACTTTGGTACACATTCAGAACATCTGGCTTCGCCAGCTAGCTGGTGTCAATCCGTTCACATTGACGTTGCGGACGTCCACCGAAACGCACCAGGAGGTCGGCACAGACAAGCGCTTTGCCAATGGTCGATAACGAATCAATTCGGGCGTTCGTAGACGACATGCGTTTGTTCTTGAACCGTAGAAAGAGGCTTGATAGCACGGAAAAGAGTGGAACAAATTTTCTTTCACTGCGCGCGTATCCGGTTAACCTTCTTTGTATTGTGCTTTCGGTTATGGGCTAGTTAAGGATTAGGGGAGGCTGATTTTCCCCCTGACCGCGCGCAAGCAGACCTCAGCACCGATTCTTGTCCATAGCGGCTTATGGAGCACCAGATGGAGGGGAACAGTTAACTATGATCATTTTCGAATCAAAGGAGAGATAGGAAAGTTATACATGTTGTTGGGTTATTCTCTAACGGAAACACCTCACTCCAGCTCGCTTATTTTACTAGGGTTCAAAATGTGGTATGAAAGGGGTTTTGAACTGCAAGGGGAATCAATTCTGTCAAACCCACAGCAGCATTAGAGTCGAAAGTTTGCTATAGGAACCAGAGCTTTCATATTCGCAGTTCCATTAACCTGCCTCATCTTTTACAACACTCGCTTTCGGTTCAGTAGCATTCTGGAAATATGCACATGCGATAACTTACGGTTATCAGAAAATGATCGTCAATGGTCTATTCCTCAAGGCGGCAGTCCTCAACCATTACGTCACTGATTCCAATCCCAACTCAGGTAATCATTAACCTAAGGTCCATGAATAAGGATAATACTACCCCTGGCATTAAGGTTTGAGAACAAGCACCCCAAAGCTTCAGAATTTCGGAATTCAAATATCTACTTTAAACGAAGCTTGCACATACGAACTATCTGTTAGCCTGCAATTAAACATTCGATGGTATGTCGAATTCTCAGGCAGTTCGTAGTTAGTAGCTGAAACCACAGACGGCGCTTCAAATGTTTTATATTCTTACCATTCTCGTCCGCAAGTGAAAAATTGTCCGCTGGTAACAATAGAACTTTGTCTGATCATTCGCATTTTTCTTTCTTATAGATGGGAATAAAGTGATTGAGACATACACCTTTTTGTTTGACGACTTTCTCCTCCTTACAAAAGTAAAGAAGCATCCGAAGAAGGCAAGTGCATATTTAAATTTCTTGAAATTTAGCCAAAACCTGGCTGTTAACGAATCCTTTGTTCCTACAGTTTGTTACATGCTATCTGAATTGTGCGAGACAATTTTCCAGGTATTTTAGAAACCAAATGTGTAACCTTGTGCCATAACCTTCCACGAGTCTATGGCAAATTATCTTCTGATCTGCCAGTTTTACAATAGTGAAATTGTCCTTTGATGAAATAATTTGTCGTATATGACGTTACGCGTGGTCAGTTAAGTTGTTACCTAGGTAGGAATGAGATATACTGTGATCGGCGAAAGCGCTCGATTTTCATACCTGTGCGGTCTTCCTGAGTATACCGAAGATCCTACAGCAACTATTTCATGATGCTATTTTCTGGTTGAATCAGGCTTTCCTCGTTTTATTCTGCACCTTCATATCGAAATGCAAAACTTGATTAAGATGGGTTTTCATTAGATGCTATCAAACAAAATAAAAATGCATAGCTTGCTGTTCGTCAATGAAATTCTCGCTAAGGTGGTTCGTACGTCGTCCATCTATGCACCTAACAACCAGCTTAGAATGCAAGCATAATTGGAAGAATCGAGGTTTTCAAGGACAGAAAGTTCTTAATCATTGCAATATATGTCTCAAAAGAAGAAAATAGGTGGCTATTTTCGCTACATTTTAGTTGGCTGCTAGTTTCCACAATTCTCCAAATCCAAACATTGATTTGATATTACAACTCGAAACCCGTTATCACGAGAGTACCACAGGAATTCATTTACGCCTAAGTCAAGTTCATAGGTTTAAGACAGAGTTCGCATATCTCGTGTCAATTGGTGAGGATGACTCAGTGACATTAACTGTTGGATTGTAATGCGAGCTCCTGTCGCTCATGAGTTCGGTTCCTTGAAGTGGACCGTGGGAACACCTATCATTTAAGACTTCGGATAGGGTGAAACGGCCATCCGGTACTTTCTAAATTGATAGCTGGTCTATCTCTCTACCTAACTGATGAACTAAACAATTGTGCACGTACCGTTGTGGGTGTAAAGGAAATCGTCCCCCAGGGTACATTCTGTTCCAGCTTTACAATAGCTTAGTGTCTTTGCCTTCAGCAGCCATAGCGCATACATTGTGCATCTACCTCTGAAACGAATCTGATTCCTAGTTGTGCCGAACTGATACTCAAAGGGACGCAAAAGGGGTTTCCGGATTATAGCTAAAGCTCTTGCTGTCAGACGCCTGCAGACGGAATGGTGCAAACATAGAGCTTTCGTGCAAGCGCCAATTCCACTCTGGCCCTCACGCGGTTAGCCGGCTTCAAGGTGATATGTCCATCGTGACTTGTCTGTATCGGAAATTAAGTAATTCCTAAATTATGCCCACTCTGATGTCACAAGCAAATTGCGAAGAAATTTCTTTTCCATAAATCTCTTCAGGCAATTACAATTATGAGCTTCATAATCATTTGTGCAGTAGCTATTGCTAACGATGCGTCACAACGTCGTGAATATTACAATCAGATGAACGGTGGCAACCTATGTATGTTCGAACCGACTACCATTGACTATTATGCCAGAAGTCAGGTGATCAGACTAGGGCCAGGGTAAGGTTAAACTCTGCATAAGCGCACACTGTTTACACAGTTCCGGCTTCAGTTGCTTGATCACAATTGCTTCTGCTACGAGGCGCTGCCTGAGTTCTTTTGTGCAGCGTTTTGCTGCTACTTACACTATTTTGTAGACCGCTTTCGTTTGTACGTTATGTCTAGTATATACTAGATGTTCTAGGATGGAGCTGTGGACAATGGTGATGGTACCACGCTGTAATGAGACAGGGCAGCGTTCCGCTACCCGATCTGACAGACATCTGGTCGTGTGTAGGAGGTATCTAGCACCACAGGTGCAATTGGACTGGTATAGGACATAGGATTCGGACTGGCCCAGAATTCTGTTTTTTAGGCGGTTGGTGGTTAGCGGTTTCGGCGTGAATGCGGAATCTGGCTGCCCGGTACATTTGGTTAAACGCGGAAGTCAATTTCCTACTCAAGATTTTGAACTGTATGTCGCCCTTGCAAGGCACTGAGAGGAAAACTTCTTTCTTTCTCACGGTCATCTTTTGCTCAGGCTCAGCTCGGAGTTGGGAATGCTTTTTGATGAAAGTATTTGAGTACCAGTTGCTTTTCAATGTCTTGAGTATGAAATTCTATTCTGCTTCCAGTGTCTCAGAGCAGCACATCATTGTAGCCCAATAATTCAGACAAAGTACCAAGTTTCGCTTGCACTTTATCGGTACGAAACTGTGGAAATGCGTGTACTGACAAACTCATTTTGGCTTGCGGAAAACCTTTCTTTCAAGCGATCCGTCCCCTTGTCGTCACAGCAAAACATCAAAAAAGGCAGACTGCTGTCTGCTTCAATCTCGCCAGTGAATTTCAGTGATGAGTGTGCGTTGTTACATTGATTCAACAGATAATCATGATCAGTATGATAGTCGAAAACAATAAACGTATTATCCGTGTATCGTTTTTAGTAATCAAAGGATGCGATTAGGTGTCTGATAGGTCCGCGTTCAATTTTTGCGAGCAAGATGTCTGCAAGCAGCGGTGCTAAGGGCGATCCCATTGCAACTCAGCCAGTTTGTCTATATTATTTACCATCAAATAGAAACTGTCCATTGAACGTGTAACGTAGAATCAGCTCTTTCACATTACGAGCTGGGGTCGGAAGAAAACTCTTGTTTTCTCTTAGGTTTTCGCAGATGAAATTGACCGTTTCTAACAATGGAACGTTCATAAAGAGAGATACTAAATCAAAGTAGAGCATCACATTTTTTACTTTTAAGGTTTCTCCCTGATGAGCGAAAGCAAATGTGTCACTCACAGTGTGACCGAGCAATTCTTAACGTACTGGTTTGAGAAGTTCCACAAGAGAATTGGCGACTGAGTGTGTAGCAGACCCAGACATATCGATCACTGGTCGTAGTGGGAGGTTAGGATTGCGGAACTTTGGCACACGGAAGGGGCGAGGTGAATGCCAGCCACATGGTGTTAATCGCTCAAGTAAGGAGTTATCTATGTAGTTACCGCGTTTTGGTTCTTTCACTGAGCTGGTGATCTTGATCTCGTCTTGTGCTGTGTTGTCCTTTTGTATGAATCAAGCACCAATTTGCTAGAATGCTGCAAGATCGTGTGCATCTTGGACATGTAGTCACACTTGTTCCTTATTACCCAGTCTGATCCCTTAGCTGGCCTTGAGAGTAGGATCGCGGGATTGGACGTCAATTCTTTTATCTCTTCTCGATGTGTACTGGTGATTAATTTTGAGGTTTGTACCCTGCTGCTACAATATTTCTGTGATAGATGCACTGAAGCGGTTCCAAAAGTCATGAGTTCGTGAGGACGTAGGTTTTAATTCAGTTAGTTGATGCATTGAACTCTCAAACGGTGTCTCTAAATGCAGCTGCGTCGTACGGGGTTGTGGTGTATATAATATTGGTCCCAATGACAGAACCTCATGTTGTAGTTTGTTGGGCTTCACTTTAGAGAGAAAGTGAACGTATCATTCTGGATGCTTTGGAAATTTCGATTGAGGCAAGTCAGGTGTCAAACTCTTTAGCAATTTTGTGTGTTTTCTCTCTTCAGTCATAGCGCAGACGTCGGACATGTAATTTAGGAATAACTTCTGTTCCTTCTGGTTGAGTTCATCCATGGGTAATTGGGAGCGTGAGCAAAGCCGTCCCAACTGAACACCATCCAGAAGATTGTAAGCTTGCTAGTTGAACGAATATGACATCGCTGTAAAACTTTTCCGTATGTCTTTGGATCCCGGTTTCCTTGTAAACACGCCTTGATGAATCGAATCTGTCTTCACGTGTGCAAGCCTAGGGTTAAACTTCAAACATTTGTTGAAGTCGGAAAAGCCTCAGGTTGCTTGTGCTTCTTTAGTTCATAAAATATGCCCCTTCTGATGTCAAAAGGAAATTGCGAAGAAATTTCTTTTCGATAATTCTCTTCAGACAATTATCAGTAGGGGCTTCACTTTATTTGTGTAGCAGCTATTGCTATCTATAGTCGGCCGGTGGCCGAGTGGTCTGCACCTTTGGTTTGCAACCATAAGGTAACCGGTTCGAATCCGCGTAGGGGTGGGCGTCCTGGCAGTATACTCCTCCCAAGCGCGACTGGTGGTGGGCACGCGGTAGCAAAGCGCCGTTACGACGTACAGCTGACGCATTATTATTATATTATTATTGCTAGCGATACGTCACAACGTCGTAAACGCTGAAATCGGATGGCTTATACCAGTGCACTGGCACTTGTGGTGCGAGATACCTCCTACACACGACCAGACGTCTCTCAAATCGGATAACGGAACACTGCCCTGCCTCATTACCAAGTGATACCAACACGAATGTTCACAGCTCCATCCTGGAACATCTATTATGTGGTAGACAACTTACAAACAAAAGAGGCCTCCAAAAAACTGTATGACTCAGCAAAACGCTGCATAAAATGACTCAGGAAGCGCCTCGTAGCAGAAGCAATTGTGATCAAGCAACTGAAGCCGGAACTGTGTAAACAGTGTGCGCTTATGCAGAGTTTAACCTTACCCTGGCCCTAGTCTGGTCACCTGACTTCTGGCATAATAGTCAATGGTAGTCGGTTCGAACATACATAGATTGCCACCGTTCATCTGATTGTAATATTCACGAAGTTGTGACGCATCGTTAGCAATAGCTACTGCACAAATGATTATGAAGCTCATAATTGTAATTGCCTGAAGAGATTTATGGAAAAGAAATTTCTTCGCAATTTGCTTGTGACATCAGAGTGGGCATAATTTAGGAATTACTTAATTTCCGATACAGACAAGTCACGATGGACATATCACCTTGAAGCCGGCTAACCGCGTGAGGGCCAGAGCAGAATTAGCACTTGCAAGAGATCTCTCTGTTTGCATAATTCCGTCTGTATGCGTCTGGCAGCAAGAGCTTCAGCTATAATCTAGAAGCCT